AGGGAGCCCAATGCGGGACTCGATCCCGGGACTCCAGGATCATGACCTGAGCCGAAGGCAGTCGCTTAACCAACTGAGCCACCCAGGCGCCCGAGTTTTATTTTTTAAAGCAAGAAAGAACAAGGGGTCCAGGGTCTAGTGGACCCTGACCGAGGGGTGGGCGCCTTCAGGGACCAGGGATGATGAGTCATGTGGCCTTTGGTCCCTGAACAGGTGAAAGTGGTTTGATCCTGACTCGCTGCCGCCAGGACCGAGAGCAGGGCTCCCGTGACCGACACGGCCTGGGCAGTGGCATCTCGTTCCGCAGCTGGCACAGGCTTCGAAGCCACTTCTCCACCCCTATTGAGGGCCATCACCAAGCCATTCCTGCCCCATAGCTGCTTCCCATGCTCGGCAGTCTCCCCACCTTCGTTGGAGGCTGGCTCTGGGGGCTCATGAGCATTGTGATCAGGAAGTTCTTCCTGGCGGGTGTCAAGATCCCTACCCCTGGATTTCTCCCCCCACCCAGGGCTCAGGCATGACCATCCAAAGGGAGCCCTTTATCCCTAAACAGTTGACTCCGCCAGTACGGATTCTGAGTCGCTGTCTCTCTCTGGATCTAGCAAATCTACTCCTTTCAAAGCATTCCAGTTCTTTGATCTTAACTCTTCCAGAGAGCAGTCGTGCTACAATGTGCTGCAGAGTCTCTCTTCCTCCCCGAAGGCTCGGGGCATCGTGATGAACTTGTCCGTTATCCTGGCAAACCATGGTGCTTCGAGCCTCTGAGGACAAGGGCTCTCCCTTTCCTGAATGGCCCCACATAGCTGTGCTTTGTGAGATGGGTTGTCTCCTGAAAGCGGATCCATTTCCACCCTGTGGCTGTCACTAGGCCCATCTAGCTTGTCTTTGCCGCTTGTCCTGCAACAACTGAGTGCATAAGCAGGTTAGATATATGCGGACAGTCCCTAGTGTCTGAGTAAGGGCCGGAAGCTCTTGTGTGGCCATGCCTCAGAGTTTGGTCTATTTGGCCCAGTTTGCGTAAAGCCTTGTCCTTTCTTGTTCTCCCCCTGGTCTGAATGGCGTTCGCAGACCTTCCTCTCTTTACTGGGCAGCAAGGTGTAAGACGAAGAGGGCCCATGAGGGCTCTGCTGGGCTGGCGGCCAACAGGAGCCCAGTGGGTGCGTGGCTGCACCTGATGGCCCCCACTGCATGGTAATTTTCCCTGTGCTTTGGGGCCAGAGCCTGAGGGTGACTGACTCCCACAGACAGGCCTTCAGGGGGAGGGCGGGGAGGGGCGTGCCCGCTTTTCCTGCAGAGATTCTCAGGTCAGGGGACTTATGCTCTTGCTCAAGCATGGCTGCTCCCGGGTTTCTGCCCGAGACCCCCACCTGATGGCAGCAGGGTCCTCTAGTGGGGGGCCGTGCTGACTGCCCCCCGCTGCAGAGGTGCCTCGGAGTCGCCCCTGGCCTCAGGGTGACCGCTCACTCACCTCCTCTCCAGGACAAAGAAGTCACAGAGATTCTGGCCATGGCCAGGAACGTTGTCACCTTGACCGTCATCCCCACCGTGATCTACGAGCACATGGTCAAAAAGTAAGGCTGCCCCCCTCCTGCCTTCCCCCTCACCTCCCCGCCTCCCACCACACCAGCCTCCTCCCTCCCCTGCCCTCCCTTCCCAGGGGCAGGTGGCTGGTGGCTCCCAGTGGGAGCCCTGAAAGCCTTAGAAGTGGAAATGAAGGCCCCCTGGGGATTTGCTGGCTAGTGGGGAGGAGAACCTGCTGCCAGTTTTGGCGACTGTCCTTGTTGCTCTATCTAGATTGTCCCCGACCCTGCTCCACCATGCCATGGACCACTCGATCCCAGATGTCTGAAGCCAGAGGAGGGCCGTTCAGCCGGCCCACCCTCCCACCGTCCTGCAGGAAAGGGCAGAGTCGTCCGAGGACAGGTGTGGGGGGAGGCCGGCTGCCTGGGGCGGGGCTGTCCTGAGGGGGCGCACGCAGACCTCCTCGGAGCCTCTGACTCGGAGCTGCACTGGGGCCCACAGGCAGTGACTCTCTGCGGTTGAAATGGGTTGAAATGCGGGGCACGCAGGCAAGCCGGCCAAACACTTCTTAAAGTTGCAGCTGGGTCCCTTGCAAGACTTTTGCTGCCTCTACCAGAAAAACAGTTTGACGTTTTGAGAGAACACGACCTCGTTCTTCGTGAGAATTTTTTCTTTTCCCCTTGCTTGCTGTGTGTCACAAACTGTACGTAGTTACAATCCTTCACTTCTTTTGAATAAAGATTTGCTTTTAAATACAAGCCCTTCTTCAAAAGTAATTGCAAATTCCAGAAACCTTGGTCCCATGACATGCCAGGCCTGGTTTTCTTCTAAGCAGTGGTGACACATGGTCTCTGAGAGCAGAGATTTGGCTCAGCCACCATCACGTGCTGCCTGCAGGGGTGACTGGAGGCACAGGGACTGGAGAGGGGGAGCCATGAGGGATTCTGGAGGAGGGACACTGGCTTTGGAGCACCCCTGCTTAACCTGCTTCTGCATCTGCAGAGCAGATAGGGGGTCCACGTCAGGGTGCTGGAGGGGATGAGGTGCGCTTACAGGCCCCAGCAGGGCTAACCCGCAGTGGGGATCTTCTAGATCCTAGATCCTTTGTGTGACCCAGGAGGGGGGTGACCCTCAGCTGCTGGGACAGGCGCATGGCAGCGCTGAGCCAGCATGTGGCTCTCTGGTTCCCGCAACCTCAGAAAGGATCTCTTTCCCCTCAGCCCTTCCCTGTGTGTTCACTGTGCCTCCCAGCTTGGCAGGGATGGTTTGAGCCCCCTGCCTCGCTCCTCGGGGTGGAGGGGAAACACGATATAAAGAAAACAGGCCCAGGGTCTTTCTGTGTTTCCATGCTTTAATTCAGAGCTGTCTGCTGTGGGTACAACTCTGTCTGAACAGGACAAAGGAGACAAAATGAAGACCCTCCCCACCTTCCATCTTCCCGTATCCCCTGAATTCTCCGTCGAGGGGATGGCCCAATGGGAGAGTATGCTGTGACTTCTTGGTACTGGCCCCTAGGTCAGAGAAGGAGGTCCTGAGTTCCCTGGGCTCAGGCCCTCGGTAGACCCTTGTCCCAGAACTTCGTGGATGCCTGCCCCTCCCCAAGCGCTGTCTGACACCCTGGTGCTAGCGATGCCTGGGAAGGCTGTTCAGTGAAAAGCTAAGTTATCCCCTTGGGAGATGCTCAGAATAAACTCCGCTGGAGGCCAGCTCTCGGTGCAGAGTCGCAGCCCCGGCTCTGATTCCCGCCTGAGCCCGGAGCAGGAGCAGCAGAGAGGCCCAGACCCAGGCCCTCCAACTAAGCAGAAGCCACTTCTGGCCGCTGGGCTCCAAGGGACCAGCGGTTCAGTAGGTGGTTCCTGGGGAAATGTCCTTTAGGATTGAATCAGCGCCAGCCGGAGGCCAGGGGGCAGGGGAGGTCCCCCGAGGATTTCTGCGCCAGGAGCCGAGGGCAGGAGGGCAAGGCCATGGCCCAGCAGGAGGAGGTGTTAAGCAAGAAAGTAAAGGGGGAGCTTTGGAGGAAGAGCACTGCGCGGGCGGCCCCCCGGCCCTGGCCTTGCCCTCCTGCCCCACACTCCGTGGCCCGCAGCGCCAGGGCCGGGAGCCAGCAGGCCGCGGTGCCCCGGTGCTTGAGGCTGCGCGCGCAGCGCTGCCCCCCCTTGCAGAGATGCGGCTACTGAGCACGCGCGCGCGTGCGCACCAGGGCCCGGGCCACCGGCCCGCGTGCTCGCAGGGTCCGTCCCGGGACCTGGCGCAGAGCCACCGCCTACACTGACCCGAGGAGGACAAGCCCGTTGAAGGCTCCGAGAGAAGACCCTCGACGCTGTGGGCGAGGGCCCCGCAACCGAGAGCGGCGGCCCCACTCACCTCAGGCGCGGCCCTTCAGCGGGGCGTCCTCCGGCGGGACAGAGCGGCTGCGGCGCCGACCACGTCCACCGAAACACAAGACACGACAGGAAGGCCACAGATAGCAAGACACAGACAGGAGCAGAGGGGCTGCGCGGCTCGACTGAATTCCAGTGTGAAAAATACATAGATTTCATGTTGTCAAATGGAGTCATACATTTATTTTCTCGGCAAAGCTTGGGCTACTTCTAAGGAGACACTAGGCAGCTTCGCGAGTACATGGCACAGGAGGCTGGGTCCACGGCCAGGCCCGGCTGGCTTTGGATTGGGTTTGTCCACTGCCCCCCCGTGTCCCGACCCCAGCGTCTGTGGGGCAGCCCCAGCCAGGCCCCAGGAGTTCGGGTCTGGTTTGGCTGGGGTGGGGGAGCTCCACTAAGGATGGCTGGTCTGTCTAAGGCCCCAACCGGTGGGGGGAGCCTTGGACGCACAAAGCGTGTGGCAGAGGGGGCTGTCGCCCCCATGGCTGAGCTGGCTGCCCACTCCCAGTGCATGCAGGTGCCCCCCCGCCTTGAGTGGAGGGCGCAGAGAGGAAAGGCGGGCCCCCTAAGTCAGGCAGCGGCTGTCGGAGCAGCGGGGGTGGGCGAGCAACCTGGGCAGAGAACCAGAGTGGCCCCGGGGCCAGAGGGATGAGTGAGACCCGGGGTCCCACCAACCCACCCCAGATGTGGGGCCTAACCTCTGAAGAGTGGGAGGGGCCACCAGATGGGTGTAAGCCCCACAAGGGAGAAGGAGTGCGTTTACTCTGTCAAATAATAGTGTTGGTAAAATGTCAGCAGCTTTGCTGGGGGACCACATGGGGTCCCAGGGAAGGAGGCGGGACAGTGAAGCTCCCAGGCCACATGGCCTCAGGCTGTGAGCAGGGAGGCCACAGGGCTCCCACCTGCCCTGCCCCGTCCCTGCCTGAGAGACAACCCGGGGCACCCTGCTTTGGCCGGGACGAACATCATGGCTTCAGCATCCCATCGTGCCATCCGTCCTGCTGGGAGTCCCTCCAGAGGCAGGCAGGTCTAAGTCTAGGAGCCCTCACCCTAGAATGCAAGCAGCCCCTCAGTGGAGATGCTGGGGTGCATGAGAGCCAAGCCCCAAAGTGAACATAGTGCAAAGCAGAAGTTGGGCCCGAGGCCCCCCAGAGAAACTTGGGGTGAGCTCCAGGGGCAGTCGTCGGGCTTCTCAAAGCAGCTGAGGATTGCCGAGTCCAGCCCCGCCTCCCGGACTGCAGGACCTTGTCTCAGAAGGGCTGGAGGAGGCCCCCTGGGCTGCCAGCCCCCTGCCTCCTCCTCTGGGGCCCGCAGACGCTCCAGCCCCAGCCCCAGCCTGTCCGGCTCAGCTCTCACGGGAAGAACGATCTGACACAGCCAGACGCGCCGACAGGGAAGCAGAGCCTGGGGAAGGTCCAGGACGAACAGACACGAGAGCCACGCTGCGCTCTGCCGCCTCGTGCCCAACATCGCCCCGTCTTTCCTCCGGCCCGTGCCTATGGCCGGACGAGGCTTCCGAATCCCAGAGCGGGGAGCAGCCGGAAGACGCTGGAACTGCAGCCGGAGCCCGGGGGTTGCAGACCCCGCTCCGAGTCCTGGGCCGGTGGCCTGTGCTCTGGGCGAGGAGCTAATACTGGCCCAGAAGGCTGGACTGAGGGCAGGGGGCGGCTGGAGAGGCGTGGGCGGTGACACGGGGGTGGGGGCGGGGGGCTCCCGTGGGCACCTCAGGCCCCGCCTCCCCACATCGACACACCGGAGACCTCGGGGAGGGAGGAGGGGGTGGGCGGGCGGCCCCGGGCGGAGGTCCAGGTGGACAGGGCCGGGTGGGGGGACCTCCCCACCTCCCCTCTCTGCAGTGCGTCCCTTCGGCGTGCCTCCCTGCCTTTGGTCTCTCTTCCCTTGTCCTCTGTCACAGTTTGAGGGTGCCTTCCCCCAACCCCGCCTCCCAGCCCCCCGACACTGTTCACGTCGCGAAAAAGCCACTCCCAAACCCCAAACGGAAGTAAGATGAGGCCCCCGGGGCACGAGCGGGAGGGAGAGCGGCACCCCTACCATCCGTGGTCAGGCGGCGCTCACAGCTGGGAGCTGCGGGCCGGGGCGCCCGGGCCGTGCGGGCTCAGCGAGCGGCAGCTGACCCTGCGGATGGAGTGCAGGGCCACAGTGCAGCAGCCCCGCAGCAGCGAGCTGATGTTGTAAACCGGCTGGCCCTGGCGCCGCTGCGAGCGGCAGAGCCAGGCCACCGTGGGCACGGCCGGCACCACCACGGCCAGCAGATCCACGATGTAGTGGCGACTCCAGTAGCTCTTGGGCTCCTTCTCGGCGGCCGCCGCCTCCTCCTCTTCCACCGGGCACGCCACGCTCACCGACGGGCCGGGGCTGGGGCTGGGGCTGGCACCGGGCCGGTGCGTGCTCGGCCCTCGGGTGATGGGCTCTGGGGCCTCCAGCTCGTCACCCACCGTCACCACCACGGCGGAGTTGGGGTCTTTGGGCCCCAGGGGGTGGGGCTCCAGCTCTGGGCCCCCGACCCCCAATTCAGGGACTGCCCCGCAGACCTGGGCCTGGGTCACTTTCTCCAGGATGGCGTCCAGGTCCGGCTGGTACTGCGCGAAGTCCGTCTGGATGGCGCGCTCCTGCATGCAGCTGGCCTGCACCCCGGCCTCCAGGCCGCACAGCAGCTTCTCGTAGGTGTTGCTGGCGGGGAAGCGGGGACCCAGGCCGAAGCTGCTGTGCAGCGAGCCCTCCTCGGGGCCGCAGTCCACCCCCGACGACAGCAGGCTGCTGGCCTCCAGCGCGTCCGTCCGGCTCAGCGTGTCCTCGGTCAGCCCCGCGAAGCCACTGTCAGCCCCGTCCTCAGCAGAGGCCCCGGGGTGGTCGCTGGGGGGGCGGTCGCCGCAGACGGCGGGGTCACTCAGCTTGGTGTAGGTGGAGCTGCGGGTGAGGGAGCGGGCAGGGGACCCGCCGGCCGACTCCCCGGCACCATCCTCCTTGGCCGTGCCGTTCTGGGCCACTTCCATGCTGTGTAGCAGCGTCTCCAGCTTCTTGTTCTGGATGTTGATGTCCACGAAGTACTTCTGCAGCCCCTTGTCCTTATCAATCAGGTTGTTCTTGACTGTGTCGATGACCTGCTTGAGCTGCTTGATCTCCTTGCGAGCCTCCTTCAGGGCCAGCTGGGCCTCCACGCGGTGGCACTCCTCCTCGATCCAGTCCTCCTGCATGCGCGACAGCTGCGTCTTCAGGTCATCGATCTCGGTGTCCCTGGGAGCAGAGGAGACACACATGCTCGCTGCCTGGCCTGTCACCACCACCAAGGACAAGCAGGGAAGGGCTGTCACCCAGGACAGAGGACCTGTGTGCCTCCCGGCCCAGAGCCAGACACAAAAGCCCTGACTCAGTGCCTCCTTCTCACTCCAGAGGGGGTGAGGGGGTGGCCAAGGGGCCTCCTCCCCCCATCCCCCGGGGTCAGGGTAGGGGGAGAAGAAATGTCTAGGCCCCTCTGCATCCTCAGCCCTGGAGGCTGAAATGCAGACGACCGTCCCCACTTAAATCCATTACCTACAGGAGACATTAGACAAGAAAGACGCTCAGTGTATAAATAAATGCCTACTGCTATAAAAACCAAACACATCTATTTTAAAATCTTAACCTAAGACAATAAGAACTAAACGTAAAATCTCTGCCCCTACGAAAGCCAGTGGTGCAGACTGTCCTCGGGGGTCCCCAGCCGGAGCCCCCGGGGGAGAGGCAGCGGGCTGCTCTGCTTTGCTGTGGAACTTACTGCCACCATGTGGCGGGTGGGGGGGGGGCTGCCGGCCTCACGCCTCCCCTCAGTGTGGGGGATGAAACGTGGTGGGTGCGGCAGAGGAAAACGGTGACCACAGGTGGCTCTCTTTTATCCACACTGGTCATCTCTGCTTTGTATCTACTGTGAAGGGGATGGGCCCAAAAGATGGACAAGAAGGCACAGGCCATTTCCGAGAGAAGAGGCCAGCGCCAAGCAAAGCAGACATGGGCACCCCGAGTCACAGATGAATCTGGGGTGCAGCGGAGGGAGGCGAGTTAGAAGAACATCCTATCAAGTCTGGCGGAAAAGGCAGCGTGAGACGGGGCAGGATGCGGTGAAGGCCGTGAGGGTGAAGGAAAGCCACTCCTGAGCCAGCAGGTCTTGCGGAGAGAGGGGGGGTGGGGCACACCCACCCCAGCCATGCGGCCCTCGTGCCCCACATTCACGGAAACGCAATGCACACAGGGCTGACTGTCACTTTGAGGGTGAGAAGCCCAGCAGAGGGACCATCCCCGATCAAGCACCGTGCGCTCTGCGGAGTCAGATGGGAGGGTCAGTTCAGGAAATGAGGCCAGGAAGTGTGCTCTGCGGAACGTCGAGGGGTCCGGGCTGAGGGGCTGCGGTGGCCGGCAAGGTCAGCAATGGCATTACCTGGGAAGGGGCGGACTGGCCCGCCTACCAGGACACAGCGCCGTGATGGCAGCAGGGAACCAGAGCTGCTCAGAGTGGCCATGACAGATGGACCACTGGGCACGGGGGCCCTTACTGGGGTTCCTTCTAGGGAAACCTGCCACACTGACGCCGAGTGCCGGGAGGGAGGAGCTGCTTGGAGGAAGGGATTGGGCATGCTCCGTGGGGCAGGGCCCTGCCCCTCTCTCCTTGGAGCCGGTGGGACCCCAGGCCAGGCAGCTCTGGCTTCCCCACCCTGTCTAGGACATTACAGTTGAACTGAGCCTTGAAGGATGAGTTTGCCCAGGGAGCAGGATGGGGGCAAGGCCATCTCAGGAAGTGGGGACACAGCAAACAAAAGCACAGGGGGTAGAAGCTTCTTTATGGAGAAGGTAGGTTACCGCAGGAGACGGGTATCAAAGTGAACACACGGAGCGCGTGTGGCAAAGAGCTGCCACGGGTCCCTGCAGGACTAGCAGGCAGAGAGCGGCCGGGGATTTAAGGTGGGGCGCGTCCATGCCAGGGCGGCGTGCCCAAACCACGCAGGGCAGGTGGTCTGCCCGAGCCGCTGGGCCAGCCCCAGAAGGGAAGCCGGGAGACGGGCTGTCTGCTTCCTGAGCCCGTGAGTGCAAGTGGCCAGGCAGACCCAGGGCATCACCTAGAAGATGACGGGAAATAAAAATAGAAATGCCAACTCAACAGAGAAGGAGGCCACAGAATGCCACCTGTAACTTCCCGTAGTTCAGAACCACAGCAGAGCCAAACCGCATCGGCTGCTTGGCAAAGCTCTGGCCATGGAAGCCACGCTCACGCGTATTACAGGCTTCCGTTTATATGCGGTGTCCAGAACAGACGAATCCATAAAGACAGAAAGACGAGTGGTTACCAGGGGCCTGGGCCATGACTACTACCCGGAATGGCCTTCCTTTCTGGGGTGATGAGAATGTTCTGGGACCGGATACCAGTGAGCGTTGCATGATTCGGTGCCTACACGAAACATCGCTGAGTGGTACACTTGAGAGAGGGGAACTGTACGGGCTGTGAGTGACGTGTGCATCACGCTGCATAGTTTTACAAAAAGAGCAAAGAGGAAAGAAGCCATGATCGTGTCGGCCTGCCCCGGCCCCCAGTGCCCAGGGCAACTCAGAGTCGGCTGCCTGTTCGGACACTGTCCAGAGGAGATGGCGAAGAGTTGGGGGCAGCGCTGAAGCTGCGGTCATAAAGATGAAGCCGGTGGCCCAGAAAGGTAGCAGCCGAGAGGGTCAGGATTGGCCCTCAGGTCCGGAGAGTGAGCTCAGAGGGGATCGCGGGGGCTCCCGGGGGACCCCGGGGCTGAGTAGGAGCTCGAGAAAGGTTTCTCATGATGTCCCATCGTCTGTAAGTACATGAGCAGAAAGGCCTCTGGGGCCTGAACCCGTGGGCCAAGAGCCCCCTGGTGACTCCCTGGGCGGAAGCAAAGGGGCCGGGGGGTTGTTTCTCCCCCCGCAGGGAAGGTAAGCCAAGGAGAATGCCCTGGGCTCCTGCTCTCCAGCTGGAAAGGAGCCAGGGGACAAGAAGTGGCCCAAAGGGGCCACCAGGCTCAAACTGAGAGAGCACTGCCATGGTTGTGGGGAGGACCAGCGGGCCGGCCGGGAGAGCAGCGGAGGGGAGGAGGGGGATGGCTTGGGGCTCTAGAAAGGGGGTCCTACGGGCCTTTGCCGGAAGGGAAAGGGCAGGCTGGGTGCCGGGAAGCCCTCAGCCACTCCTTCCTCCCAGAAGTGCCCCAGGGCCCTGGGGCCTCTGAGTGTGGAGAAGGCAGCGTGTCCCCAGGGCTGCCCCTGGCTGGCAGCTCACCGGTCCTGCAGCCGGTCCTGGGTGTCCTTCAGCCGGGCCTTCAGGTGCCGGATGCACACCTCCTTCTGCTGCAGGGGGGTCAGGTACTGCTCCGGGGTGGGGGGCTTGACGCCGTGGTTGTCGCTGCACAGCGTGTACTTCATGGAGCGCCTGCAAGGGGACACGTGTCAGCGGGGAAGACGTCCCTCACCATCCTGGTCCCACGGCCACCAGATGGCTCCGGGCTAGGCCTCCGCAGCAGCCCGTGTGGGCCTGAGAGCACCCGGGCCTTCTGGAAGGCAGGATTTATTAAAGCTCTTCTGAGTGAAGACCACAGTGGGGAGCCTGGGGCTCCCCTAGTTATGGGTGGGGACGCATGACAGAGCAAGCGCACGGCCTGGCACCATGCAGGGCGTCCCACTGATGCTGCCATCTCAGTCCCGGGGGGGATCCCAGAACTCCGGTGTCCGGTCTCCGAACCCAGAGAACGAGGTGGGGGCCAGAGGCTGGGGGGGCGGGTGCACCTTCCCTGTGTAATTCTCCCAGGGCCTGCGGCGGGGGGGTAAGGACCCAGCCCTGTGTAGGAGGACGCACCCTCAGAGCTGAGAGCCTTTACGGCCTGGCCTGCCGGACCCTGGGGGGGACCGGGAGCGCAGACGCGCGTGCAGGCTCCGCTGTCTGCAAACGCACTCTGGTGCCCTCCTCGCTGTCCTCACGTACAAGCGCGCTCGCCCGGCCACGCACACGCCTGGTCCACGTGTGCCTGCACGCCCACCTCCGTGTGTACACGCCCGTGCCCGTGCCTCCCCACCGCCCTGCGGCCACCCTCAGGGACACTCACAAGGACCAGCACAGCAGCCCACACACGGGTTCACGCAAATGCAGGCACACACCCGTGCTCGAGGGCACACACACACACAAGTGTGAACACCCACCGGCTCTGGGCATCCCCTCGTCCACAGCTGTGCCCTCAGGTGGCAGCAAGCCGGCTCCACCTGCTGCCCAGCCTGGGGGGGCACAGACGCGTGCGCGTGTGTGCGTGCGTGTGTGCACATGTGTGTGCGCGCGTGTGTGCGTGTGTGCACATGCGTGTGTGCGCGTGTGTGTGTGCGTGCGTGTGTGTGTGGCGAGCACACCCTGGTCTCAGCACTGCACGGTGGAGGCACCCCGGCCCAGTGGAGGAGGGCGGAGGGCCGGCCTCGCCCCCAGAAGGACAGCACCCGGTTCCAGCATGCTACGGCCCAGGCTTCCTGCGGCCGCGTGTGCCAGAAAGCCTGCCCGGGTCTCGGCCAAGCAGTGGACGGGCTCTCACACAGCCCACCAGAGGCCCTGTGGCCACCCAACGCTGCCCCTTCAGGGCACGCGGACCCCCGGGGCTTAGGGAGGGGCGATGACACCCACAGGTCTGGAGACAGGCCGGGTTTGCCGAAGCAGCCGCCGTGGAGGCAGTTTGAAAGGTTCCGCGGGAGCTGCCTCATGTTTACGGAGGGAAAAGTTTTCGTAAACCGTCAGCCGCTGCAGAGAGCGTGGGGCTAGAGGTGGAGAGAAAGGGGCGGATTCTCTTCTACTGACTCACCCCGTGGTCCCTAGGTTTAACTCAAGGCCTATCACACGCCAGCCTGCTTTCCGCGTGACAAGGGGCAGAGGGGTGGCGCGGGTCGGAGCTGGGGACGCCCCGTCTGTGGGCCGCCGTGCCAGGACTCGCGCTAGAGGGGCGCGGAGCTGCGGTGAGTGAGAAGGGGCTCCGCCCCGGGCCCCGGGCAAACCAGTTGAACTAGTACAGTGGAGAATCAGAGAAGACGCTGTTCTCACTCTTCCCATTTGCTTTCATGAGTGGATTTTTTCTAATATAGCATTTCACACTCATACATTTTTAGTCATTAGCTCTATCTTTGCGGAAAAAATATATGAATAACTGAGAAGAAGAACATACTATAATCCGTGGGTCTCCGCTGTTCCCGCCTCGGAACACCTGTTTGCACTGAGGCCACAGCCGAGGCCCCGCTGCTCGCCCATAATGGCTACCATCCACATGGGCAAGAAGACCCTCCCACGGGGGCAGTGCTCAACCTCAGGGCTGGGACGGTCCCTTGCGCTGCAGTTATGACGTGCACTGCAAAAATCTGCTACTAATGAGAAAGTGTTCAAGTTGTCAATCGTATACTTTGCAAAATGTGAGCACATCATCCCGCTCACGCCCCCTGCACTCGGGGTGGGGTCCCGGCCAGGAGGCTGGGGCGTGGGTCCTGCGTGTGTGTGTCACCCATCATGTGTGTCGAGGTGGAAAACTCTGAGAACGGCTCCCTCAGTGTGATCTGAACATCACTTCACACCAACGACACCCTCTCCGCTGGAAGGGCAAGACCAGCCAAGACATCAACTCACCGAAGCCTGCGGGAGGTAAGCCCTACTTGACAGATAAGGGAAAGACTCAGGGACTGGAAGAATGAATGCCCAGCCCGCGCTCCCCGAGCTCCGGGCTCCTCCGGGGCATCAGGATGGAGCGCTCAGCTTCCCTTCACCTGCCTCCCCAGCCTGCTTTTCCAGTTCCATTCCCCTCTCCGGAGCTTACAACATAGCACGGGCTGCATTGTAACACACTCCGCCTCCCAACCCTGCCGCAGCTCTGCCACGGGGCAGGTGGACCCCCCGAGGAGAGCAGGACGGCAGACGCCCTAGTGGCCTGCTGCTCTCCATTCTTGCCTTTCCCCCCAAGAGAACCCCAATTCTGTGCACGGTGGCAGGGTACCAGGGACAACGCTGGCGCTCCCCGCACCACCTGGCCGGCAGCTGTCACCCAATCCTATGTCTCAGTGCCAGCCGGCAAGGCATAGATGGAATTCCTGGGGAAGTGTCCGTTCTCAGAAAACATGAGCTTCTTGTCGGGGGCGGGGCGGGGGGAGGTGGCCCTTCTACCTTCTTCCTTCCTGGCCCCGAGGCTGACCTGATGCCTGGAGGTGTAGGAGCCTCTGGTAAGGGTGAGGGCAAAAGCTTGTCCCCAAGGACGGTAGAGCAGGAAGACGGGATGGGGTCCCCGACACTTCAGAGAGCTGCCTGCCGCTGGGCCCCGGTTCTGAAAGCATCACCCCTGGATCATGTAAGCCCCTGCCTTTGGGACAGGGAGTCCCAAAGTGTGCAGCCGGGCGTCACCTTTCCCTCTCTCGGGCAGGAGCTGAGGCTCTGGGGGAATGAGCTGCTGGAGGTCGCACAGCCAGAGTCGGCCGGTCCCCACCCACGCAGCCGGGGCCCTGGGTGCAGGTGCATCGCCAGCCGGGCACGGGGAGGGGTTACCTGGGCGTGGGGCTGCTGTCGCTGCCCTTGCAGGAGCCCGAGTTGCTGCTGCTGCTGAGAGAGGAGGTGCCGTAGGCGTCCCGCACGCTCACGGGGGGAGAGGTGCGCCTGGAGGCAGGAAGAAGAGGCAGGTGCTCGTTCGGGCTGGCGGGCAGCTGCGGACACTGGGCGAACACCGCCAGGCCGCTGCGGCCCAAAGGGCCCCCGCTGTGGGGTCACGGGCCGGGAAGAGAAGCAGAGGGGAGAGGGGGACGCACAGACAGGGGTGACAGAACAGACAGCGCAAATCAAGATGGAAAACCAGGAGCAGGCTGGTCCTCCTGGCTCCCCAGGACAGGAATGGAGGCTGGGCAGGGCCAAGGGTGGGGTCCCATTTGCCCTCGCCAGGGGTCCTCCACTTCCAGGGTCCCCCGAGTCCCGAGGAGGGCCCTGCAGGGGCTGGTGCAGGTGGGGCAGAGGGGGCAGGCAGGGGTAGGGACAAGAGGAGGGGCACACACAGGTCAAAGTGGGGGGCCAAGTGAGTCAGAGTGGAGGACGGCATGAGTCCCCCCTGGTCACTGTGAAGCTCAACAGCAATACTGAGGATGGTTCGGGTCCAGTGGTTTACTGCTTCGGAGAACTTTATATCCACTGTGTCCCTTGAGCCCTTCAGTAGTTCCTGGAGGAGGTGAGTGATAGCAAGCCCATTCTAAAGCTGGGAAAACTGGGGAAATGACTTGCTCAAGGATACACTGTAAGTTGGTGGCAGTGGGGGGTGGGGCAGAGACCCTCCCTCCTCCCACCCTCCGAAGCCAAGGGGACACTCACCTGCGGGATCCAGCAGAGGCCCGTCTACTGCCCGGCAGAGACATGGCCATGAGGCTGCGGGTCCGGGTGAAGGGCGGGATGGGTGGTGTCCCCGGGGCTGAGGAGAGAGGGCGCGTTGGGGGTGCCGCGGGGAGGGCCGGACCAGGCCATGTCATCCTCTCGTTAGGGCCGCTGCCTGGCATGGCTCCTCCTCTTACCCTTCAGCAGGACACCCCAGGACCGAGCAAGGGCCGGGTAGGCCAGGCGCTAGCCACAGCTGCCTCCACCAACGAAGTTAGCGCACTCCTGCCCCCCGACTTAAAATCTCGATCGTCAGGGCTTCAGGGGCAGCCAGGAATCATAGATCCAACCCCGGGTTCTCCAGATGATTGAACGTGGAGACAGAGCTCGAAGGCCTTGCCCAAGGTCACACGGGCATCGGGGCAGGGCCTCCTGACCCCCAGCGCAGCACCAAGTCCTCTACGCTATAAGCCAGGCCCCCCGATCCCTGACTCGGACCCCACCCTGCGCTGGACAATCCTCCCTCCTCGGTGGGGGCTGCAGGCTGGAGGACTCCTGGAGCAGGACCAGGATCCCCAAATTAGGCTGGACTAGTCTCGACGTCACCTTCCCAGAGCGCCCGTTGGCGTGTGGCTTGGGGCTTCCTGTCTATAGGGGAGACAAGACAGACCAACATACCAGCACATGTGTAGAAAGACATATGGATACACACGAATGTGAAAAGGTACTACGTCCCTGCCATTCCAAGACAGGCTGCACCCGTCTCAGGGAGCATGCTCAGGATCGGCCCACGATGCAGGACATGCGGCCGGGCCCTCCCGCATGCATGCAGCACACAGGCATGCCTGCACCCGTCCATGCAAACATGCATGCTGACTTCGGCACGCGTCAGGACCTCAGAGCACAGGCTCAAAGCAGATGAGGAAGGGGGCAAATGGGTACAGAAGCCCTCCTCTGGGGAGGGGGGGGTCGGTGGGCTGGAAGGAGTAGGAAGTGACCAGGCCTGTAGAGACCCATCCTTGGCAGTCTTGACAAGCGGGTAGAGGCTTAGGCTCCAAGGGCAGCCCTACAGGGGTTTAAGGAGGGGAGAAGCCCCCTGTTGGGCTGGGCGTTGGCTGTTGTAGGAAGGAGTCCTGTCCTGGGCATCATCCCAGAGACGGAGGGGCTTGGGCTCTTTGCAGCCACGAGTCCTGCCAGCCCCAGAGACCCCTGTTCCCTCCTTCCATGCTCAGAGCAGGGACTAAGGACAGAAGCCTGGGTTACTGGAGACGTGGCCAAGGACACCGTGCCCCGACCTTCCCCCATGCTGGAGAGAAGCGGTCACTGAGCCCCGCTGCGCACAGACCCCGGGCCAAGCACATTACGTACAGTGCACCATTGGCTCCTCCCAAAAACCCTATGAGGAAGTGCTGTGATTAGTCCCCCTACAGAGGAGGAACCTGAGCCTCCGAGAGGGAGGCACACGCCTCAGTCACAACCCCAGCATGTGGCCGGGCCAACAGGGGAACCAGACCAACACCAGATGCCCAGGGGCTGGGCCTCAAACTCCGGAGTCCCCTGGCCGGGCACCACCCCTTCCCACGTCAGGGCCTCCGGGGAGCCTGCTCATCCTGCCCAGTGGCGGGCCTGCCTCCTGAGGGGACAAAGGCACCGCTCAGGTGGCCTGTTTCCCGGCTGTGACACCGAGCAGAGCCTGTGCCCCTGGAGGGCCCGGACACAGCCGGCATTGTCTGCCCGGAGGTGTCGGGTGCCGGGCCCAGGAGCTGCCGACACCAGGCCTGTGACCTGAGCTGCTCGTCCCAGCTCGGGGACATGTCCCACCCATCGTCCCCGGTCACACAGGCACGGTCGGGCCAGCCCCTGGAGGAGGAATCATGGGACCACAGTGCTGCCCTCACTTGTCAGGAAGGCCACCAAGGACTCCGCACCTCCTGGCATGGCTTGGGGGGCCCAGAGGGGCGATGTGTTATCACATTTATCACATTTGGGCCCGAGGTGGCCGAGCTGCAGGGCCAGACAGACCCTGGCTTCTAGTCCCAGGCAGCCTGGCTTCCCTGGCAGCCTCCCCCCTTCCCTTCTTGCTTTTGGGAGGATGCACTGAGGGGGCGGTGCCTGCAGGAGGACAGCCTGGCAGAGGCAGGACTCGGGTCGGAGCACCGGCCTCACTCTTCAGAGGCAGCTTGGGCCAGGGTTGCTACGGAGCTCGGAAACTCCAGGTGGAGTCCCAGGCCTCTGTCCGGGGAGGCAGGCAACATGCCCGGTTTGCCTTGGAGCCGAGTGTGGCCTCGGTACAATGAGGGCTTTGTCTCAGTTGTCCCTGCTCCTACCTCGCTTGACGACCCCATACCTCCCTCCTCTTGTGCTCCCTCTTCGTTCCTCCCTGGCCCAGGGGGTGCGGGTGGGGGGACGGGGGACAGCATTTGAACCTGGATGGACCCAATGGTCTCCTGGGAGGCCAGAGCTGGCCATTCCTCCGGGACAGAGGTGGAAGTGGCATCTCCCCTGCTGGGATGGGACCTTGCAGGCGGGGGTCCCTCATGGGAGGGCAGAAGCCACCCAGGCCCAAAGGGAGCCACCTCTCCAGGATCCTACTCAGAAGGCTGGGCGTGCTCTCTCCAGTCCTTCCTCCCGCTCCGGGCCCCAGAGAGGAGGCAGGTTGCCATGGCATATGTTGCCAGGCCGCCTGCCTGCTCCCCTGGATCCCACAGCCCTGTGCCCAGGCCGCCAGAGGCTGCTGCTTGGAAGGGAAGGGAAGGCGTACCTTGGGGAGCTGGGCTCAGAGTCTCTTATCACCTCCACACCAGAGTAAAGCCAGCCCCTTCGTCCAGCCTCCCTCCTCTTCCCCATCCTGCCCGCACCATGACAACGCTGCTGCACGCCCCCTTTGATCAGCGCCTCACACACGCGGCAGGTTCCCGAAGGCCTACCGTGGGGGTCCGGGGGATACAGCGGGATCCAGGGAACAGGAAACAGAAGGATGCAGAAAGAGAGTCAAACAGATCTGGGCTCAAATCCCAGCTCTGTTGCCCTCCAGGTGCATGCCTTGGGCAAGTCACACCACTTCTCAGCTTCCTCATCTGTGACAGATGCACCTCGTGGGCTACTGTGGCAGGATAATGCGTGCCTGGGGCTCAGCCCAGCACACAACAAAACACGCACTCAAAAGCGGGAATCGCCAGTATCTTGGAAGTAGATCATTGCAACACGACGTGAGCTTCAAAACACGAACACATTCAAGGCATCACACATGACCTCTCAGGGGTCAGAGAAAGCTTGTCCAAAAAGAAATTTACACTGGGTCTTGAAGGATGAATAGGAGTTCGTCAGTCGGAGAAAGCAAGTGGGAAAGGAGGAGGAGGCTGGGCAAAGGCAGTGAGTAGTTCAACGGCATGAGAGCCGAGGGAACCAGGGCGCCTGGTGAGATCAGAGGCAGGGTGGGGGTGAGGCTACAGGACGAAGCAGCGCCAGGCCACACAGCGCCACCTAAGGCAGGGTCCTGTTGTCCTGTGGGCAACAGGAAGCCAGGAAGGGCCTTGGAAGGGGGAGGGACATGATCAGACTTGCAGTTCAGAAAGCCCCTGGGCAGGGGGCCTTTGTGGAGTGTGGCTGGCAGAATACGGGCAGGGAGACCAGGTTGGTTATGGAGACCTCTCAGGTGAGACACGAGAAGAGCCCGGGTCAGGGCGGCAGCAGAAACAGAGGAAGCCATGAAACCTCCAGATGCAACAGGGGCCCCCGATTACGTAAAAATTGGGCACAATGCTTGATTCTGGCATTCAAGGCCCGCTCTTCTATACCCCTGCCCCCGTGCTCTCAGTGGCCCCCCAGAAAGGCCCCGTCAGTCACTCCCGCAGCTCCGCATGGGCTGTCGGTCCAGCCTGCAGCCCACTCCCTGCCCTGTCCTCATGCACACGTCACGCGCCTTCTGCAAGGCTCTGCCCCGCGTGTCTTCTTCCCTGGACTTCCCCATCACTCACGGTCATGACCACTCAGCATACCATGCCTTGGGTCGAATCTCAGGGAACACCACCCTCCGGGGGAGTTCATAAAAATAAACACAATCAACACACAACTGTTAGTGACACAATGGTCTAAGCAGGCACGACTGGGAGGCCAGGAGTTGGATTAGATGGTCTCTAGGACACTTCTGGATCCAACCTTCTCTGATTCTGGGCTGTTAATGAAATGATGGACTTCCAGTGAATGCTCTCTTCTTCCGTTCCTAGGGCTCCTGGGTTTCAGCTTCCCCCCTGCAACATGAGAAAGCTGCATTCTTCAAAGACTCAGTGGCCTTTTACTCAATCAACATGTCATGGGGGAGAAACCAGGCACTTGCGTTAATCTAATATTCTAGCTAAGTGAAAGTCCCCGTATGTACTAGAAATGATTTTTTTTGCAAAGACTCGGCCATCAGTAAAAGAAGAAAGCTATCCTGAAATCCAAGGGAAACAGAACAATCTGTGTCTCATGACTCAAGCCTCTGACAGCTGTGGAAAGCAGAGCCTTGCGATCCACAGAACAGAACTTGGGGGGGGTGGTCCTCTCTCTGCCAAGGCAACATGAGAAGGCAGAACAGCAGCGCGCCCGGTGCCCCTCGAATGTCAAAGCCGGGAGAAGCAGGAGGTGGAAGGCTCGCCTGGGTCAGTGCCAGGAGCCGTGCTCTGCGTCTCAGAGGATTAGTGCCCCCGGGGGCTCTCCACGGCTGAGGAGCTCAGTGAACCTTCCACCGGCCCCCCGTGGTTGGCCGCACCCTCAGAGAAACGGAGGACCTTTCTTCCTGATCTTGGGACGGGGGCGGCGGTGGCACTTCCCCAGCTCGCTGCCTGTGCCCTGCACAAGGTGCCCTTGGCGCTGGATCCGGAGCTGGGAGCAGGACAGACAGCCCCCCAGGGGGCTGCCCAAGGCCAGCAGGACCTGGCTGAGGGCTGCGACGGCCACTCCACAGGCGGCCTTCAGGGATTAGACTCGGATTCCCGACCTTGGCGAGCCTCGGGCCCCAAGCCCCGCGGGGGGCTGCAAACCATCCAGAGAATTTGCCTCTGGGGCTGTGGGGGGGGTGGGGGGGATGGGGGGGTGGGCTCAGGGCTCCTTCCCCTCTTCGCCTGCAGGGACCCCCTCCCGCATCCGTTCCACACAGGCGAGATCTGCAGTCAGATTGCTGCTCTAGCTAAAAAGGTTTTGCAGCTTAAAATCTACGTACTGTGTATTTTCCACAGTGAGCCACTTCACGTCTAGAAGGATGGCTATTATCAAAGAGACGGACAATAACCAGCGTGGGGGTGGGAGGGGAGAAGCTGGAGCTCTCATGCCCTGCTGGTGGGAAGGCGGGGCGGCCGAGAGAAACAGTGGCAGTTCCCCAAAATGTTAGCCGTAGAGTTACCGCGTGGCCTAGCAATTGCCCTGGTAGGTAGATACCCCGAAGAACAGAAAACAGAAGCTCGCACAAAAACTTGTTTAGGAATAGCAGCACTCTTCACGGTAGCTGAAAGGAGAAAACCAACCCACGAGTCCGCCAGCGTCCAGGGAATGGATGAACCAAACGTGGTACGTATGGCGGATGGGGTATCAGTCCTAAAAACACCCGAAGGAGGGACACCTGCCGCAACATGGGTGACCGTGAAATATGCCAAATGAAAGAAGCCAGACACAAAAGACCACACATTGTCTGATTCCATTTATATGAAAGGTCCCTAACAGGCAAATCGGTGGAGACCCAAAGTGGATCAGTGGTTGCCAAAGGCTAGGAGAAGGAGGAAGAGGGCATGACAGCTAGTGGGAATCTCTTTTGGGGAAGAGGAAAATGTCCTGGAATTAGATAGCGGTGATGGATCACAACTCTGTGAATATACTAAACCCTCCTGAATTGTACATTTTTGGGGGGGAGGTATTCCTTTTTTTAAATTAAATTAATTAATATATAGTGTATTAGTTTCAGAGGTAGAATTTAGTGATTCATCAGTTGCATATAACACCCAGTGCTCATTACATCACGTGCCCTC